TTCTTTTGACTGAATTTGCTTCTATAATTCTTGATTTCATTTTAAAGGCTCATGGCTGAGTTCTATTGGTATTGACTTAGATGACATTGATGGAAGGGTAAAACGATGAATTCAAGTCCCATCTCCCAAAAGGGTAAGATATCTGGTGAAAGTCCGGATGCATATAATGAAATTTTTTTGAGGATAAGACGATAAATTCAAGTTATACGCACCAAAGAGGTAAGACATCAATTTGAATTTTGATGCACCAAGATGATAAGGTATTGGATCCTATCTCATAAATTTATGACCTAAGATGACTTTATATGGATGATTTTAATTCTAATGCACCATAATGATGACAATGATGATCAAGGGAAAAATAATATATTTTGATGAAAATTCTTGAAATACATCATATTGAATTTGCTCCATTCCTTGAAAAGAATGTGGTAGCAACATATGATAACTTTGATATCCGCATGTTGATTTGCTCCATTCTATCGTATGAATGTGGTAGCAGTAAAGAATTAGTCTGAAAGATGACAAATGATTAACGATATGAATAAGGGCGTGAAGGGACGGAATTATATTAGTCATCATTGTGGTAATTATAGAGGGAAGAATAATATGAGTTCTTCAAATAGTCCTTCAAACTAAGAAAAATAGTTATATCATCAAAACGCATGGTATGAGAGGTTATTGAACCTATGGTTGTTGTCGACTAATAATTTGATAAGTTAATAAAACTACCATCAAAAGAAAGAAATATAAAGTGGTGGTACACTTGACTTTTCAAAAATAATAGTAAGGCGTGTCATGCAAAAATGATAAATTTTCAAAAGCATGACAATGTGCCTATAATGCAAACTTCTAATACATATATAAATGACTAGTCCATTTCTTAAAGAGAATGTGACTTGTGATGAGTATCGTGAATACTTGATTATTATATAAGAGAATGAGTCAAGATGTGATAAAATCATTATGAACTGGATATACATCATAATTCACCTCTATGAGAGGTTAAAGAAAAATGATATATGTCAAAACTCACAACTACGGAAGGTTTGAGAAAAAATAAATTTTATTTGGTAGAAATGGTTAATGGTATTGTACGTTTAAACGCCACTATGATATGTTTATTGTGAACTATCGAAAGGGCAAAAGAAAGAAATAGTTCTTGCCTATAAAGGTTGTGGTCATTATTGTGTGGCAATACAAATTTGTAAATGGCTTTGTACCTATGGTACAACAAAAGTAAAGCAGAAACATGTCTTGCTCATAATGATTTTGACCATGACAATAATAATATAGTTTCCTCCTTGAAAGAGATGCTCACCATAGGGATGGTGTCATGCAATATGTGATAGTACACAAAATTAATAGCAAGCTCTAATGAATTGTGTTGTTATCAGAGGAATAATAATGGGGTTGTAGTAAGTCTCAAAAGAAAATTTTAGATTTTGGATGAATTGAAAAGAAAATATTGATATTGTAAATCACTACAATCGAAATGGGTTATATATATATATATATATATATATATATATATATATATATATATATGTAAAAGGTTACCCATTGTTTCCTCTTGTTTGTTGCAGACAAACATAAACATGCTGATGAAATCACATGTAAAAGAAAATTATACGTGTAATGAAATAAATATCAGTTGGCATGACCAGTTGACCATCAGGGTTTGAATGTGATGCAAATATAATTGAGAATTTATGTGGCTTATATGATGAAGAAATAAAAGATTATTCAAGAATTCTCTTGTGTTGTTTGTTTTAATTGTACCAATTATGGTTGGGATTGTAATCCCCTAAAGTTTATGGAACATATAAAAAGGTGAATATAGGCCTATTCACCTGCCATGTGGATCATTTGTAACTATACGATAGATGCATCTATGCGATGATCACATGTGCTTTGGTGTCAACTTAAAAATTGGGGTTTGTAAGGTTGTTTGCTCGAATTGTTGAATTAAGAACACAGTTTCAAATTATGAAATTATATTGATAACGCTGGTTGATTTAGCAGAAACTATATGCCTCCAATTATAGCTAAATCATGGTTATGAGAACAAAATTCTCAAATAAAATTTGGTATGAGATAATTTTATTTAACATGTAGCAACACATGTATGCATCAAGCCAACAAGGTTTTCACATTAAAATTGGTTCAGGGTCAGGAACCAAATAATTTTTTATCTAAAATGTTGAATGTGCGATTATGATTTTAATTACTCCACCACGTACAAAGATGAATTCTCGAATAAGGTTGGAATGAATGTTAGATTTTCTAACATTTGGGGAGAGATGATTGACAACTGAAAATTATGTGTGAGGTTAATTATGAATTATCTAGATCCTCGTTAAATAAATATGTGAACTAAAAGTTCAAGGAATAATTCATTTACATAATGTTGCAAATCAATTGCCAGATGAATGTACTGACCCTATGATATAATTCAGCTGCAAATGGTCCAATGTGAAGTCCTTGAAAGACAGAGTCTATGATACACCGGAAGCGTAATAGACCAATCAATTCCAAATATAGAATTTCTTGAAGAAGGAAGAGTGAATGATCAATATGGTCATAATAATGAGTCAAGTGCTATAAAAGAGCACATTGACATAACACTCATAAAATCTCAGTTATGTCATATTGAAATTGAATCTAATAATCGTCGACAGTATCTTTGATATGAGGTAGCGCTTAATGATATAAATTGTGACGAGGATCTTGAATTCAAATCTGTCATACAGCGTGGACTATTAAATGGCTGACCAAGTAAAATGAATAATTCAAGTATACTTTGTTTCACTTAAATAAGTGACTTTTTAGACTGGTAGTCCATAAATCAAGGTATAATGTCAGTGGGGCAAATAAATTATTATGCGATAGTATAACCGTAAGATATCAACTATGGCTTGTGCCTTGGGGCATAAAGGTTTATCACAAAAATACTGACATTATTGGAGATGTTTTTGTTTTCCTATGGTGAATGCAATAAGGTTTTTTTTGATCTGACAACATATGAAAAACTTGAATGCATATAATGAATAATTTTCATGTCTTGCTAGACAATGAAGGTTATGTGAAAATTCTTGAAGCAATCGAGGTGCCTGAAGTATATAAAAGTTTGAAGGAAACTTTTTCAATAAAGTTTCAAAAATTCTTATATGGACTGAAATAGTCAAGGAAGAAAATGGTATAAAAGAATGACCCTAATTGTCCTTGTATTTTTATGAAAAGGTCTTGGTAAGACAGAATTTTGTCTTGACCTACAGAATGATGATTTGACAAATGAAATATTTGTCTATCAGCGCACATACACAAAAAAATGTTGATGCGATTTTAAATGGATTATTCACATTCATTGAGTACCCAATGATTATGAGATCAATTGATATAAATAAAGATTCATTTTGATCTCAAAAAGAACGATGAAGAGTTTCTTGGAGATGAAACTTCATATGTTCGTGCAATCAGGGCACTAATGCATTTTGCTACAATACTCGACCAGATATTTTTTTTCAAAATTCACTGGCAAGATTCAGTCCTTAACATTGAAATGGTGCTAAACACATACTTGAATATCTTTGAAGGACTATAGACATAGGTTTATTCTAGTCCAACGAATTCAAGTCAAAGTTGATTGGTTACGCAAATGCGAAATATTTATCTGATCCACATAAAGCTCAGTCTCAAACACGTTAGTTGCCTTCATGTGGAGGCACAATGTTATCTTGTCAATTAATGAAGCAAATGTTGGTGATGACTTTCTCAAACCACGTAGAAATAAAAGTCTCCCATGAAACAAGTTGAGAGTATGTCTAGTTGAGATAAATGACACACCATATTCAGAAAATGTGTTTTTTTTTTGAAAATGAATATACCAATCACAAAGTATGGAGATAATCAACTGCAAATGAAAGTGTCCACGAGATGATTATTGATGTGAACAAGTTGAATGATCAATTTTCTTGCAACAGTGAGGTTATGACGAATAGAATGATATTTAAATTCGGCTAAGGTCAAAGCCTTGTCATATTATTAAAGTCAGAAAATGATATATCAGGATGAGTTCAATGTTGCAACATCTTCGTGAATGTGATTTGATCACAAAGACACTGTCAATATCATTATTTGAGAAGTTGGTGTATAAGATTGGAGACATCATTACAAGAAATTAAGTGATGTTTTAATCAGGGGGAGTATAATACGCGTTTCACTCTTTTTCCTTTGACCGAGGTTTTGTTCCGCTGAGTTTTTCTGGCAATATTTTTAATGAGGCAACAAATAATGCGGATCAAAATATATGTGTACTCTTTTTTCTTCACTATAATTTTTTTCCAAATGATTTTTTCTAGTAAGGTTTTAACGAGGCACAATATCTATGGACATCTAAGGGGGAGTGTTATAAATCCATTGAATGAGTGGATAGTCCATAAAATTAGTACATGAAAAACTATCCATATTCACTAGGTTTCATGAACCTTTTTGGATAAGAATGTATCTATTTATTATGATACTTAATATGGTGACTTTTGGAGTGAGACTTAGATACACTTAAATAAGAAAAAATATCTCTTCCATCTTTATATTTCTTGTCTTCTTCTTCTTATTATTTTATTATATTCTGAGCTTATATTTTATAGTAAATTTTGTTTTTGATATATTTTTGAAATAAATTGTTATTGATATCTCGTTTCAATTCTAAAACAAACCAAAATAACATTAAAATCCATAAGTTAAGTAATTGATTGCTTTTATTAGAACGAAAAAGAGTTGCTGATATAATGATAACAACTTATACCAAGAATAGTGGCTTTAGTGTGAGTGATGGGATTCATGTCTTTTACAAAGAATACTCCCATATATTGTTGCACATTCAACAAATTAATTTGTGCTAACAACTTGTGATTCTTATCTCTATAAAGGTATTTCAAACAATTCGTTCAATAACATTTAATCAAATTTAAATAGGAAGAAAAGTTGTGAAAAAAATGAATGAATAAATTTGGATTATAATTACATAGAAAGTTGGAAAATTTTTTGTACATATATTCTACAACTCTTAATTCCCATATGTCCTCTAGTTCTCTCAACTTTTCACCTCTATCAAACAAACTTCTTAGACTTCTCTTCACCTCTCTCTGCTGCTAAATACTTGCAACCAAACACTTGATTGCACAATAATGGTAATTCCAAGGACTCATTCTTGGTTCGTAATATGGAACATGTTCTTTTCCTTCCTTTCATTTCTAATCATACAATGTTTGTTCTTGTCTTTGATTTGGTGTTCATTCTCGACTCTTCGTTGAACATAGAGTAGTACTAATTGGCTTGACTTTTGGAGTTGTGATCATTCTAAACTTCGTCATTGAACTCAATGTTTGCAATGCAAGAAGAAGTTTGTGAAATTTTTGACATTTGGGAAAGAGAATGTGGCATATCTTGATGATTGAATAATGCTTGCTAGTAGTACTATTGGGTTAACTACAGCAGACTACAGTGTTTTCCTTGAAATGATACATTTGTGTTCCTTCTTTTCTCTTTGACATCTTTGAAGCAAACACATCCAATGCTTCTTTCATCCATGGATGCCAACATACTTCTCTTGCTTCACTAAACTTCACCTATAATATCGAAAAAATCAAATACATTTTCATTTCAAATTTGAGGACTCAATAACAAAAACAATTTTTAGCAGCAATAAATATGAACATTTATTAGCATCGTTATAGACTTTACAAATAGTACTGAAGTGTAATTGTCACTAGTTATTGTATCTAAAAAAACATATATTTAACGATAATTAAATTACTTTTATTAAGCATTACAAAATCATTTTTGATATAGTGTATACACGTACCCATAAACGTCGACGAACACTTTTCTCAGGCCAATCGTCTAGTTCCTCAGTTACACGCAGAGGAAACATGTGCCCCTCGTGAAATGTGCCTTGGCTTTTGCTTTTGAAACTCCATGTACCTAAATATTCCTGAAAACAATGAGCAAAAATGCATGTTTAAGAAAACAATTCTAATAATAATTATGCATCAATCCCTAAGTAACAAATGAGGATTTTTTTACCAGCGATCACTCAGTAATGAACACTAATTAAAAATGGTCAGAAATGAGTATTCCCTAGCTTAGTTTCAATTTATGTGACAATTTTTATGTTTTGAGAGTCAAATAGTAAAGTCTGACCGAAGATTTACGCATGGAATCTTCAATTTTTTGAAAATTAAAATTTATATAGTTGTAAACTACGTAAAACATACTGTGAGTCACAATAATTGATAGTTCAATAAGATCTATGAAAAATCCACTATTAAAAAATAAACTTGTTTGATTCTTAAAATTTAAAATGTGATATATAAAATTTGACGAAGTAGTACTTTTTATCTTTTGCATGTGTCTTCAACTTGATAAAACGAAATAATCCTTTATTATGCTCAGAGGCAGACCAACCTTGATAAGTGGGGGCAGACGTGCACCCATTACTTAAATAAAAATGTATATATATAATTAACCGTGCACTCTTAAGTACAGGAGCAAGGCAGAGGATCTATCACAAAACTAGGGTTCAAATCTCATTCATATTTGATGTAGCCAAAATTTTTCAAATTCTGAATTTATCTCTCATATATTTGTAACAAAAAAAGGAAGTATTTAGATACAAACCTGAACTTGAACTTCACCAACAACACCAGCTTCTTCAAAAGTCTCTCTTGAAGCTGCTTCTTCCAATGATTCATCAATTTCCCAACCACCCTGCATTATCAATTGCTCAATCATACATATTCAATCAAATCAAATCGTAAAAATTCGATATACCTTAGGGAACATCATTCTTGGATTTTTCTGTGAGCTAATCAATAAAAATTCCAAATCATCAATAGGGGTACTACTACCCTGTTGAACACATGATGATGGGTCCCTTTTTATGCTTCTATATGGAATACATCTGCCAAACAACAATTATCATAACTTTTTTTAAATCTCCATTATTTTCAAATACAATTTATTTAAAATGAAAGATTAAAGTTAAAGAAGAGAGAGACCCAACAACTTGACGACAACCACGATTGTATCTTTGTAAATCTCTTCCTGTGCGTGAATTCATAGAGAAAGATTTCTTGATTTGCATATTTTTTTCTGAAACAAAAAGGGTATGCAAGAAAAGACACAAATATATATATAGAGGATTGGAATCAGGCCGTTACGTGAAACACAAAATTTTGCGGGTACAATCTATGTTTAGCTATTTTATTGGGTTACATCATAAATTTCAAAGATAAAAACTTATATATATATATGTGAGAGATAGAATTAATTTTCTTTTTTCTCATAATATAATTAATTGTGCGGATAATATGTAAATTTTAATGTATGTTTGTCCGTTCGTTTAGTAGCAGATGAGAAAAACAAATAGATATGAGAATTAATATGCCTAGGATAGTGGACACGTTATGCGTGGCTCAATAATTGGAGATGACTCATTTGATATCGACCTTCTCGATTCGTTAAATTAAGGTTAATACTTCCTCTATCTATTTTTATTTGTTATGTTATGCTTTTTAAAATTTAATTTGATTAATTTTTAAAATTAATTAAATTACATTAATTCGTTATTTTAAACAAAAGATTTAAATATTCAAAAATTATATGAAAAGTATTATAAATTGCAATTTTATGTATATCAATATGATAAAAAATACATTTTAAAATATTAGTCAAAGTTATTATAGTTTGACTCTAAAAATAAAAATCAGGACAAACAATAGTGGAGGGAGAGATTATATACTTTTTGACAAATTAACAAATTGTAGTTCATTTTTTTAATCTACTATACTCTCAATTTATTACTTTGAGAAAAATAAAACTTTTTTGAAATTTCAAGTTTTTAATTCATCTACTTCATAATTAATATGGATAAGATGATGAATTTTCTATATCAATAATTATTTTGTGTCAATTCAAAAGTAGACAAGTAATTAGGGACAAAGAAATGATCAAATATAATACCCCATTTGTCCAAAAATACTTGTCAATTATTGATTTTGTACACTTCTTAAAAAATATATTAGTATAAGGTAATTTTACTATATCACCCTCTGAATATAATAAGCATAATGTCTTAAAAAATGTACGTAATAGAAAAATGAGTATAATTAATGATAATGTTAAATTAGAAACTAAGTGTAAAATTGTTCATTCATTTCATAAAGTTGACAAACATTATTGGACATCTTAAAATGGTATAATGCAAAACTATTATTGGACGGAAACATTAAAAGAAATATATTTGAATTGAAAGTGTAATGGAAAAAAATATATAATTAGATTTATTGTATAATAAGGGATATATTAAAATTATTTTTAATAGTATAAGAGTATATTTGGTCATTTTTTGTTCTTTTGGATATAAAATTTGAAGAAACATAGTTTTATTCATCAAGATTGTGAGCACAAAATTGTTGATCCTTTCATTCGTATCCCTCATTAGATTTCTTCGTGATTCGAGCATCGTAAATAACGTATTTCTCAAATTAGAATGATATGAATCTCTTGGCGATTTATTTAATCTCCATGTAAGGATGATTTTGTGAATCTTCTTGAAGTATTAATCGATTGTAAAGAAGAGACTTTTCATATATTGATATCTTTATAAATATTCCATTATCTAATGAAATTTCAAGATCTTGAATTTTAAAAATAGTCAAGGATTTATATCATTTAAAAATTTCTTAAAGAAAGATAATATTTGATGTCTTCTTGATATATTTGTGGGGATTCCATGAAATTATGGACTAGTGCTTAGAAATCCGGCTGACATTGAACTTAAACTAGCTGCTGCCATTGAAAGAGAAGAGAGCTCTGTGACTTTCGGGCTTAGCTCTTTTTCGGTGCAAATAAATAAACCGGTATATTCTCTTTCAGTTGTTGCTCCGGAGAAAGAAGTTTCATTTGCTTTGGTAGTCTCGTACATATTCTAAATTAAATGATTCCCTTGAGAGGGCTGAAAAGGAAGCTTGAACGAAGTGAGAGGGTGGATGTAATTCAGCTCGACCTAAACGGAGAGGGAAATTCTTTTTATTGTGTTCCCGGCTCTAGCCTCTCTCTTTCCCTTTATCCTGTGCCTGGAGATGTCTTAAATTAAGTAAATATTCGAGATCTTGATTTTTATAAATACTCAAAAGTTTACACAATATTCGAGATCACTTCCTTGTGAATATTTCATAAATTTTGCAAAATATTCAAAATGTCTTTTCAAGGGGATATAATACCCTTTATGTAAGAATGAATTAGAAATAGGACTCGTCTTATAGAGTCCTACAAAATTTCAACGTCCACAATGAATTATAGTGTATTACTCTTTTATATAATCATCTCACATAGTACGTACAATCTCACCACCATTAAGCATGTGTTTCTCGATATAAATATTAAACGTCGGTAAGACTAATAATATTAATTTATTGGTGAGAGTAGAGTTTTTGGCCTAAAACATTCTTAAACTACACATTAAATTAAACTTAAACTACATCCTTAAAATATCATTCTTAGTAGAAACATCCTTCAAGTATTCAAAAGTGAACAATTTTCATTCTTCTGTTAGATAATTTTATTTATAAAATTTATGTTCTTCAATTTTTTTATTAGGTATATTGTATTGCAAAATAAGATAATAGTTTAGTATTTTTTTTATTTAATATGATCTAAACACATTCAAATAAGTAAACTCACAATTATAATTTAATTTAATAATGTCCGCGGATCACGCAGGGTACTTTATTTATTAATTACAATAACTAATTTCAATACTAACTAATGAAATATAAATTAAAAAATATTAAAAGTAGTATTGAAAGTCGAACAATTAAATTAATTTAAAAAATAAAAAACTTCTCAAAAATTCAATTAATTTGAAATTGAGGAAATAATTTATTCAATTATTGTATTAAAAATTGTAAAAAATAATAATCATGATTTGCTATTTGATTTAAGTCTTAAATGTGGACCATCTCATTTAAGTTTTAGACAATTGTGGTTTTACACTGTATTTTGCTTTCGTAGGTTTATTTTTACTTGTCATATTTATTTATTAAAATAAATAAATTGATATGATAATTTATTTTGAGTTTATCATATTAGTCTATTAAAATAAATAAATTGATATGATAATTTATTACATTTCCATATTAACTAACATTTAATATTAAATCTTGAAGTAAAGTTTATGAATAAGTAGTTATAGTTGGGAAAATTATGCGGTTAAGCAAATTTATACTATTCAATTACTCATCATAGCTAGAATTTGTTATAATTACCACAAAAAATTGATTTTTTAAATAATTAAGAATTAATAACTATATATAATAGGGTTAAATAATAAATTGATATTTTATTTTTGAAATAGTTTCTGAATTTTTTATGTTTGCCTTTAATTGATTCTTTTACCGTTTCTTTTTTTTTAAAAAAAAATTTGTGACATTTTATAATCATAGATAGTTATCTATTTAATTGAATTTCTCAATACATTTTCTTTATTATATTATTAAAATAAATCAACCATCAGCATAGAAACATATGGTATATATAATAATAATAATAATAATAATAATAATAATAATAATAATAATAATAATAATAATCATAATAATAATAATAATAATAATAATAGTAATAATAATAATAATAATATAACGAATTGTATTTGATGGAGAACGAGAAACCTTGAGCGAGTTGTTATCTTTAATTGGATGAAACAGTGATTAACTTAGCTTTGGAACAAAATTAGCAACAAATAGATATTCAGTTAGCTTGAAAACGGACTCGACGATAACAATAATAAAAAAATCATTAAATCTTTATTTTTTTCATAGAAAATATGAATTATTAATAATTAACTACATGTAATTATATCAAATATTAAATTAAAATTTAAAATACAAGTTAGAAATTTAAAGCATTTTTTTATTTAATGTGAATGTTTTTAAAAACCATATAAAAAGGATCTTTTAATATATATATATATATATATACACAAAACATACTAAGCCCACGTTAATTTTTTAAAAAAAATAAAATAAAATTAAAATTTTTAACATAATAAATGTAAAATCTACCAAAAAAAAAAACTTGAAAAATAAAAAATAAAGTAAGTGAAAAACATGATTTGTTTAAATATGTAATCACTTTTTACTTTTGAATTTCTATATATAAAAAAACCCACCTATTTATATCCATTTATTCCTTCATTCTATAAATATGTTATTTTTTTCAAGAAATCTTTTTATTGATTTTGCTAGAATTTTCTGTCTGAAGATGGATATTTAGTTTGTAAATCAATATTTGGTTCCTAGTGATTCAAAGCAGGATTTTGGAGCAATCGACTTTCGCTACGAATAATAAGGTATACAATTCTCTATAAATCCTACAGATGAGGTATCAGTGCCAAGTTATTTTACTCTATGTTAAAAGTTGTTGTTTGTAATTTGTTGTTATGAGATGGTTGTTAATATTATCTGTTGAATTATGTGCAACAAGGTTAGTAATACAAAATAAGTGTTACTTACTTGTTAGAAAGCATAGGAAAACAAATGTTGATTAAAATTTGGAGTATACTCTGTTTCTTTCATTAATTTTTTAAATAAAGTGGAAACAATTCATGTTGAAAATCTGATTTGAAAAATTAAAAATAAAGGAGTAGATAATTTTTTTCTCTCTCCAACATATCCGAATGTTGTCCGGTGTTCTTCAGAAAAAAGAAAAACAATTATGCGAAGATTACCTTATGAAGTTCTTTTTGTATATTTATATGAGATATGACCTACTTATAATAGAAAAGAGCCGAAAAAGTGGGCTGTCAAGTTTTTAAATTGTTTAAAAAAACTTTATTGAGTTTGAAAAGCTTTTTTTCCTTTATTTTCTTAAAAGTTATTTCTTACATAAATTAGAAAAGGTGTTAGTACTATTTAGTAGTAAATAAAGACGAGATCAAGTAGAATTATACTTTATTTTTTGAAAATACATGTACCTTAAATTAAATATTTTTTATATGAAAGAGTAGTCACTATTAATTTTACTTACCATTGAAATTAATTTGCAGTAAGTTTTACAAGTTTTTTTTATGAAAAAAAATAAAACTTACTTGCACTTGGATTAGTAATAGTACCTATTACTCCAATATTTTGAGAAAAATTATTTAAATAACTATGACAGTTCTATAATTTAATTTTGAGCGGTTAAAAATATATATATATGATTTTCTTTTTGACTTTGATAATTAAATTATAAAGCCATGAGAT